TCAGCTAGCCTGTGAAATGGGTTTTCTCAGCAGCTACATCACAAAGAGTGGAAACTGAACAGATGGCTAATTAAAGATAACAGAATTTTTGCATGTATCCAAAATGTTTGAAAACATACAAATCTAAAAGGTGACCTACAAAAGGGTTTTATAAATGAAATATATTTATTTGTGTTCAGTGTCTTACATACAGGAAGAGTGAAAAACCTGCTAAACCATGCATGTCCTTTTTGGCTGTGATATTTCAGCATTTTAAATGTATTTGGCTCTTTCTATAAAGAATAAATTAGTCTGATTTGCTCTGGCTCACTGAGAATGAAGTGTTCAGGTAATAGCTCACCATCTTGTGGATACATGCAAAATATTGCTTTGGCTGCTTGAGAAAAGTGATGATTTTTCTAAGTTACAGATTGTATAGAAATTTAATGTTATTTGGCTACTTTGGGAGGCCAAGAGCTACATATTAGACAACAGCTATGGAGGGTGCAATGTGACCTCAGAAGTTTCCTTCTGATACAGAAACAAAAGCATTTGTCTATGAAACAACCATCTTATTCTCTCCAGCAGAATCCAAAACTTATCTTTTCCTTGTGGTTCAATTTCTCCAGTATCAGGCTAAAGATAAAAGTTAACCATTTTGCTAGAGTTAATACATTAAGAAAGTTTGGGCACATACTGAGTAGGAATTGTGGGCAGAATACCAGAGCAAAAAGCATTTATTTGAAAATCCTGGTTAACTGCTAGAGAAGAGACATGAGAAAACACAGTTCTTTAACTCCTGAAGAAACAGATAAATTGATGTAAGTTTTATGCCCCAAATTAAAGAAGATTAACACAGAGAACAGCAGCACTAAGAATTTCACTTACTTTATTTTTATGGAACTATGACACTATCAGGAAGTTGGGTTTATTAATATGCCCTTCTGTATGAATCTGAGACATTATAAGCAGTTTATAAAGTAATAATTATTGAATCCCTACACACCTTATAAAAATGCTGTTAGATTCTTGTGTTATACTAAAACTGAAAGCCACTTTCAATAAATGAATAATTTCTTGGGAACAATAAGAGCTGTTTCTAACTAATTTAGCTATCTGTAGAAGTAAGTTGTATTTACAGCTCACCAGCACAGAAAATCATTCGTTTCATTAAGGTGTTCCTTGAGGAAGACATACAAAATTCCAACATCTACTGCTATTGAAAAGCAGCTGGGAGCAACCAAGAAAATAAATCATTTGCTTTTATTTTCTGGTAGTTTCTCCTTTTCAGCTTACTCATTTATATTTGGCCTGTGGTTGAACCTGTCTCTTTAACTGGGAAATGCTGAGAAGTAAAGCTCTGTGTTTGTGGCACAAGTCCAGTCCTGAAGGAGCAATAATTTCATGCAAAAGCAGAATTGGTGGAGTCACACCAAATTACTCAATAGTTCTGTGGACTTGTTAAAATTCATGTGCATGTTGTTGAGACCCTGAGAAGTCCATGTAATACCAGGTAGACTTTGGGTAATATCAGTGCTTCTTCAGCTTACAAAATGATAATACGAATAAGGAATGCTATAGGGAGCAATTCTTCTACAATTTGACAGCACCCTTGTTTCTCACCAAGTTTCCATGTGACCCTCATTGCAGTGATGTTTCAAACACAGAAAAGAGCTACAACCATCTGAGTTCACCAAGTTCACCTTTGCACTCTCATCAATTCCATAAATCTCTCTTTTAGCTGCTACTGTACGCTTTGATCTCATTTCAAAAGTTTCTCTGCTATCATCTGCCTGCAGGAAGCATTGTGAGGAGGCTTTGCGGATTGCATCAGATGGGTAAAAGCTGGCACTTCAATAATTTATGCTAGCAGCACATTTTCAGTGAGCAACTTGGCCAGCAGCAGCAGAACATCTTAAGAAAGATCTAGGTAATACAGTAGAAGTCTGAACAATTTTGATTTCTAGTCAGTACCACAGAAAATGCAGAGATATTAACACTCATGCCAGTAGTCAACCCATACTGTAGATCTGTATCATATATATTACATTTAATACTATTTTTCCTGATTTATGTAAAATTGTCTCCAAGTAATTGGCTTTTTATTGTCAACTGCATAAGCTGCTAGTCTAGTATTTGAATTAGAAGATAAAGAAACATAAAGAGAAAATGGGACTGGGAGTTGACAGAATTATCAGTCACCGTGGAGAACACCTCTCTGATGAAGCATCATGAAAATGTAACTTGATCACCTTTCCTGACTTCCAAATACAGTATCATATGTGCAAACAATAACTGAAAATCTACTGACTGCTAGTTACACAAAAATGAAGCTTCACACTATTAGATCAGAGCTTGCTCAGTGCTGAACAGCCTCCAGGACAGGAACAATTAATGCAGTGTTGAGAGTGAAGACTGCAAACATACCTGCAAACTAACACTAAAAACTGTAAGACCTTATTTGGAATTATTTTTTCCTCTATTTCTAAGGTAAGGAAGACAAAATGTTAGTCAAAACTTAGCTATGCTTAATAGGATACTGTCTCCCAGGGTAAATTATCATAATCACTTCTAAAGCATGTAAAAATGATATTTCTCTTTGATATGCTGTTCAAAGTGAAAACCCTGTTTCCAAAATTAGAAATTCTAACAGGGAAATAAAGATACTTACAGGAGTATGAAGATAGAGGAAAAGATAGTAGCGTGCTATCTTTGGAATGAATATGATCTCATGGAGTGATAATAGGAGATTGATTATATTTCTCATTTTGGAGGAGCTACTGTACATTCCCACTGTTACAATAGCACCAATTATGTCCACACTTCCTTTCAACAATATTTTTCAAAAGGCTTTATAAAGGATGTTAGAATCATTATCCTGACCTGACTGATAAGAAAACCAAGAAACAGACCACTGAAAAAATAACTAACTGTATGTCACCTGGCAGACAAGCAGAAACACAGTATTTCAAGTTTCAGTCCTATATTCTTTTGGCAAGATCCTTCTGATGTTTTCAAATGCCACTGTACAAGCAGGGAAGTGTTCACAGAATTTACAAAGGCATTGACTGTGATTTTCTGACAAGCCTGGTCTGTAAGTACCTACTAAATATTACAGTAAGGAGCCATTATTGACTCCTAAAACACTCCCCTCTAGCAAAGCCATCCAGTTGTTAATGGCTGGCAGAAGCTCAAAACCCCTGTTTAAAACAGTCTATCCTTTTTAAATGCCCTTGCAGTGTTGGTTTTTCCCAGCTGTGACATTTATGATAGGAACAAGCAGGATAGGCAGTGATATTTTTCTGTTATCTGGTGTAGCTACTCCCCTATGCTTTCACAACACCAGGAATTTCAACATGTACAGCTCAAATACTTCCCCATGTCTGTTACCTCCTTAGTCATTTGGTGACATTACTTCTTTAAAAGAAATAATTTTAAGAAAGAAAAACCCAAGTAAAATTTTCTGTCAAGAGAAAAAACATTCACAAGTCTCATCAGACATGATATTAGTAGCAAAAAAACTTTGGCTTTCTCAGAATTAGAAGAAACAGGCAGTTGCTGAACCTAAAGAAGATCCGTGTGCCAGGCAGGAACTACAGAATGTAGTATGTTCTTTGCCCTTGCACCACCTCCACTTGCCTCCTCCACTAAAAGCTGTTGGCTGCTCCTCTATCACTCATCTAACTCAGTATTGCCTGCTGCTGCTACAGAAATTTTCATCCATGCCACAGCTGACAGATTCTGGGCTCTTCATTCAACTCAGGTAGAAAAATGAATTATAATCAGGGCTGACAATCTGCCTGAAAATGTACAATGTAATATGTGATAGTGCATTATCCAACATTTAATACATAAATGTATCATTGTCTGAATGCAGGCAGGATCTCCACCAAAGAACAATTTCCATTTTCACATTTGAACTAGTGGTTAACTTACTTTATTTTTTTTTTTAATAGTTCAATGGTATTTTGCTTAAAAAGTTGCAAGAACATTTAAGAGCCACTCAGAAGGTGTTCTATTTTTAGCATAGGAATGAGTCCAACTACTTTTAATTCAACAATTTGAACTTTTATTTGTAATTAGAAATTGTATTTTCAAACACTGATCAAGTAAGACAACAGTGCTGTGCGTAAACAATACACACACTAACACACACAAAGTACTTCTAGGGTTAGATAATACCATAACTGCCAAGTATATTCAGAAGGACAAAACCTATTTCTTTGTACTGAGCTACACACCCAGAGAAGTCCTCAATGCATGATTTCTATAGCTAAATTGTTATCATCCTTTCTAGATGACAACAGAAACATTGATGTTCTGCCCTACTTGCACTACTCTGCTTTTGTCTGAACTTTACTGCACCAATCTATGTTCTAGTGGATGATTTGTTCCAAAGTCTTTGCATTACTAGAGATGAGAAACCAGTTATTTGGGTTTTTTTTTCTACATGTTTGATTTGAAAGTCTATTTCTATTGCAGCAAATAATAATGATCACTGGCTATCTGGACCAACTTCTCCACAGGAAAAGTAGATTTCATTATTTCTGCTACTGACATAAAGATCTTTGAGGACATTCTGTGATCTCACACCCAACTCTGAGCAGTCACAACAGAAGAGAATCATGATGACTGAGTTTTTCTTTAAAGAAAAGCCATCTATACAAGAATAAAAAAATGTTCATTTATTTTGCTTCAGCACTGGTTTCCTGATTCCTGTTTTTTTTTCCCCAGCCCATTGAATGTTCAATTCCCACTGTACAATACACTCAAATACAGGAAGGATATGATCAGTGGGCTTGATTTCAAAGGTGCAGAACTACCACTGAATTAGATCTGACCAAGTTTAAATGACCCTGGAACATTTCAATGTCTTGGGGTGCATTTACAGATCCAGCCATTTAAGCACAAAGATGTAACTTTAAAGGTATAAAACCATTCCACATGTCCTTGCTTGTTAAAAGATTCAGAGGTACACATGGTAGTTCTAGAGCTGCTTAAAATGCCAGAAACACATCATTTCAACTAATTTTGTTTTGAAGGCAAGCAGTTTTGCATTCTTTCATTACTAACCTGGCTGTTAAAGTTGGAGAAATGACAATAGAGGCAAAAATCTTCACCATAGCCATTTTACAAAGATCAGCTGCAGAGCCTATGAAAGAAAGTGACCTGTTTTTAATTTAAAGCATGCAAAAGGAAAATGTTCTTCTTGGAACTATGGCATAGGAACAAAAAATATCAGAAGATTTTGAATTACAAGAATTTTCAAAACTAGCAGATCCAATTAATGCAATATGTGAAACAGATTATAAGACTAATAAATAACAGAGGAAGTAATTACATGTTAATTTAAACTAGAAAATAACAATATGAAATCATGTGTTAATTAAAGGTTCATTTGTCATTCATGACTATACATTGAAAAATTGCTTTCTCTAAAAAAGGTATAAAATTATCTATCTCTAAGCTTTAATTAAAATTTATCTATTAATCAATTAAAGTTTAATGTCACAAAAGGTCAGAACATTGTTTCAGTGCTGCATTTCAATTTGGAGTCTTAATTTTGCACTTTTTCATATTTCCATGTATATGTAAAACCTATTCATTGCATTACAGTGTTAAGAGCAATGGTGCATAAAACAGCGTCATGTCATAGAAAAAATGACACATTTCTGGCCATCAAGCAGCAGAATAATTCTCCAGGCCTGCAGCTTGGTGAAGGTCTTTGTTCTGATCCAAACATTTTACACAAAAGATTTATCTGATAAAATATAGAAACAATCCTTTGAGTAAAGAGTGGAAGCCATAATCCTCCTTGACCCACTAAATGTCCTAGATCATGGTCATTTTTTTACAACCCTGTAACTCAATGAATTTTGAATTTTTTCTGACATTTCAGAACAGTAGCAGAGAACAGCCAGGTAGCCAAGTGACAAGGGTACTCTGCTGAGAGGCAATCAGAGAATTGCAGAAATCTCCAATCAGAAGGGACCCATAGAGATCATCAAGTCCAGCACCCCAACTCCTTGCTCATAGCACGACTCTAAATCTGAACCATATGACTGAGAGCATTGTCCAAACACTCCTTGAACTCTGTCAGGCTTGATGCTGTGACCACTACCCTGGGGAGACTGTTCCCGTGCCCAGCCACCCTCTGGGTGAAGAGCCTTTTCCTGATATCCAGTACAAACCTCCCTGACACAGCTTCATGCCATTCCCTCAGGTCCTACAGCTGTCACTGGAAAAAGGAGCTCAGCACCTCCCCCTCCTTTTCCCCCCTTGAGGAACCTGCAGACTGTGATGGAGTCACCCCACAGCCTCTTCTCCAGGCTGAACAACACAAGGGACCTCAGCTGCTCCTTCTAAGTCTTGTCCTCAACACCTTTCACTATCTTGGTGACTCTCCTCTGGACACTGACAATTTGATGTCCTTATATTGAGGCACCCAAAACTGCACACAGGACGTGAGGAGGGGCCACAGCAGTGCAGAGCAGAGTGGGGCAGTGACTGGCCAGTGAGGCTGTGCCTGATGTCCCCCAGGATACTGTGGGCCCTTCTGGCTAGGGAAGACAATCTAAGAGAACAAGGACAAAAGCTTAACATCTCTTCTTCCTCCACAGTCACCTATGACAAACTGCCCCCTCTGGATCCCATGCTGAGACTCTGTTTTGCTCATGAACTGTACCCAGTGCAGACCCTCAGCTGATGATGGAGGTGGTAATGTCTGACTGTGGATTTGGCCTCAAACACCTGTCTTGTTTTCCTGTTCAAATGATGTGTCAAATTATTCAACACATTGCAAAAAGGGACAACTAATATAATAGGTAAGAAAGGATGTTTCAGCAAAGGTCAGGTAAATATCTTCTTAGTGATTGTGAGGATAAAACTATACTGAGCATTTAGTCAGTCACAAAAGATATGTTCTGGATACATTCTTTCTGAAACTTTGTAGAGTAATGAAATTTGAAAGGCTTCTCAAATATTTTTTTACTGAAATATAATTTTTAGAGGTATCCTATTTTAAAAAGAAAATAATTATAAATAATTAAAGATAAAATGAACTGTTTGCTCTACAGGAATAAGGTACAACTGAATAATAACTGAAGAATAATATGCTGTACATTGGTAAAAACGATTGAACAGGGAAATATTCAAAAAGAGGAAAAATACTATGAAAGAAGAGTGAGAAACCGAATTGTAATAATTCAAAGCTGCAATTCTACATTTTTCTCAATATTGCCATGCATCTGAAGTATTCTGCTATCAGTTGCTGCTACCATAATCAAAAATGTAAATTAGTTAAATCAATTAGACTCTTAGGTATAACTAAAAAATACATATTAAATGCAGTTTAGTACACTAAATGTGATAAAAGGTTTTATAATTTATAAAGTTTTTATGGTCTTCAAATATTATCTTATAGCTGAAATCTTAAAATTAAAACATCATGGTAGTCTAGAATGGTAGTCTTTTATTTAAAAAATAAAATTTGGGAATAGAGAATATTTTAGAGTTTTTAATCCTTGCTTCACCACACCTTCTAATATTACATTTTGAGTAACAATTACGTTATTTTTCATCAGATTTGTCCTCCAGTATCACTTGAACTGACAGTGAAATCTGACAATCTTATTATTGTAGGTATATAGAAGTGAGTGTTCCATAGACAGTCCTGTGACAACCTTCCTCCATCTCTTGGGACAGATGGACACAGCAAATGCTGCTCAGAGAGCTGGGTCTCTTCATCAGTGCTACACTGTGTGCTCTGCAGGACTCTCAGAATGAGAATTAGAATTCTAGCTCTCTAGGTACCTTTGCAGAGACAGTACTCAAAGACTGTCAAACATGACATAAATACTTAAGTAATTTTTAAAATTAAACATTAAATGAATAATATTTGGATAGGAAAGTGGTATTTCCAAAAGGAAAGTTCAAATAACTTTAGGAGGAGTATGCCATCACCAGGTCTAGAAAGCACTTTTTCCTTGCCTGTAAATTGTACACTTCCAGGGTAACTTAAAGAAAACTCTGTCAGCATCATGCAATTAAAAAAACCAATTCTTCTAAGGAACATGAAGGTAGGAGGCATCTCAGTCTTGGGCTGATAGCTCAGGTTTTTTTCCCCTTTGGGTGACTAAATCCTGTACACACCTGAGCCCCAAGTGACTTGACCAGAGTATGTTATTGCATCAGATTGACTAACATGTGAGCACAAAATTCTGACTTTTACATTTCCAATCTATATGTTAAATATTCTTCTGTGGAAAAAACCACCTTTTTTCTTGCCCTCCACAGAATTAAGTTTGAAATTTCTGCAAAGAATGAGCTGGATTTCCGAACAAATAATAACAATGCACAATTATTGTAACATTTTGTATTTCTGAAACAAAAGCTACCTGGCAAAATAAAAGCTGGAATCTGTAAGGAACAGAATCAGAGAAAGCCTTCTGGAGTAATGGACTATAAAAACTAGAAAGGAAAGTGTTTAAAGAAACAATGCACCTGAAGAACAGAATTCTAGATATTCTGTCTATAGGTAGTTTGTATCAATACCTACATTTAACTATCACAGAGCACTCTAGTGTATTAGAACATTTATACTGTTGCTGTTATTATCATTATTATTGCTATATTATTCTGTTTACTGGCAATTTCCAAGATAGATGGAATATATAATTTTAACTTCTTTTTCACAGTAAAACTTACGCCTACTCTAGTAGACTACTGTATTTCTTCAGAGATTATCAGAGTTGTTGCCCACTAAAGGCAAGCAGGGATAGAGATAGGTGGGTAGACAGGAAGGTAGGGAGGCAGATATTTACCTTGAACAACAAAATTTACAGCCTGCCTCTCTGCTTGAGTGCGCAGCTTGTAATCCTGTGCATTGATATTGGCCAGTGGCCTTTTGCGTCCCATTATGGAAACCACGTAACCTTGCAGGATTTAAATAAAAAGTACTGTTATGTGATATAGAGGGATTTAAATTAGATTTAAAAAATTCTTCTTGAAGATAATACAGATATTTGTAATTATGTGCTGCCTGAGTCACTTTAATATTTTGTCCTCTGAAAATAGTCAGAGCTTATTTAAACCTTCAACGCTTATTGTATTTTTGGTTTAAGTACTATTCAATTCAGAGGATTGGTACATATTATACAAGGAAAACTTTAGTTCTTTAAGTTGTTAAATTTTTTTTAGGAATGTCTACTGATAAAGCAGCAAACTCTCTCTGTGGGAGATGAAACTATAAATACCTAGCAGAATTAGCTATCTATTAGCAGCCATAATTAGAGCTTTCCACATAGTGAATACTTTACTTGGGAATAGTAAAGAAAAATCAATTTGTAGAATAATTAAATCAGTAATGAATATTTCCCAAAAATTTAAAACAGTTTTTTTTTTGGGGGAAGAAAAGTTATCTTTTTTTCCCCCGTTTTCTTTATATAGTATTTCTGTGTTCCTTTCACAGCCAAACTTCCTCAACTCTAGTGTGGTGGGATTTTTTAGTTTAAAAGAAATATAAAAACACAGTTAAGGCTTTATGTTAGGCCTAATGACATATTTTCCTAAAGAAACCCCCTTTGGAGGGCAAGTGAGAGGAGTTGAGATAGGAAAAGAGATGTGAGGTTCCTCTTGTCAAAATAACACACACAAAACTTAGCTTATCTTCAAAAATAAACTTCTATTCTTATTTTAAGAAAAATGAAAAACCATCCATGTTAAAAATACATCTTGAAAAAATTTTTCTTTATGTTTCTGATCACCTTGACTACCCATGAATTGTCGTTAGATACCATGGAAATTCAGACTGAATTTCCATGTCCTCTGCTGTACAAGCACAAGTGGTGAGGAGACCTCTTCAAACAAAAAGTTATCACCTTATTATGGACAACATATACCCAGGCTTGTGTGCAGAGGATGAATTAATTCAGCTTTCCGTGTATTAGTGCATTTCCAGGAGTGCTGATACCAAAAATACCAGTTTTGAAACAAGAAACAGAACTATCTGGAAATTAGGGTATTCTTTGACAAATCAGGCTCCCCAGTTTAACTAACACTTTCCATGAAGAACACTATTTAAAGATGGAATTCTTGAAAAATTGTATTCTTAGGTAAAATTAAATTTACTGTAATATCCTTATTCCTGTGAGGCATGACTCCACATTACTGAGCAGTATTCCCAAACAAACACCATCATTTGTGTAACAGTGGCAGAGAAGGTGCCTGGTGTCAATGATTAATCTGCAAATCCATGCCTGAATGAGGCCTTAATGTGGTCTTTTCAATATGTCAATAATTTAATAAAAAACAACAGCAGTATAGTAATATATACACTAACAAATATCTTCCTCATAATAGAATTATTCATATGCTTATAATGTCTACATGCAATATCATTCATAAAACTTAAAAAATATTAATCAGAAGGGTACTGCTCACCTTTGAACTTCAGATAAGTTGAGAAAATGAGCCCAATAGGTTGGAATGCTTTTGTTGAGAAGTTAGAATCCAAGGTGGATTAACAAGAAAAATATTAAATAATATTGATCTGCTGCAGATTTCTAAAGTTTGTACAACCTAAACAGATTGTTCTTCTACCATTAGTGGTTAAAAATGGTTGATAGGCAGGAGTGTAAGAAGGAGTAAGAAGTAATTAGACAAGTGTGTTTCAATGACTTTAGAACATTAATCATGACATTCCTGTCTACTGAACTCATAAACCAGATTCTCTTGCGCAGAAGTCTGTTTATTGAAATTCATTCACTTTTAAGAAAAGAATGCTAATTTATTTTAAATATATCATAAATATATAATAAATGTGTAATGTTTTACTAGGTATGTTATGTTTGGCTTAATTACAGCTAAAAATGGATGTTTGGTTAACTTCACTTTTCTCGAGCAATATTAATAAACAACAGAATGCAAATGTGTGACACAATGACAGTTCATACTTATAGTAGACTTTGAGACCCTACAAAGTACAAAAAATGAATACTATCAATTTTCATAACTAGAAGTGAATTATGTGTCCATTATGTGTGTCATTGCACTCACCCATACAGTGATGAGTAATATTATATTGCAAATTTACTATTTATTTCTAAAATAGTCTTAGTACTGCATGCCCTATTAAAAAACAAAATAACTCAATTTTGAAAGTTCTGCTAATTAGCTTTTAAAAGACAATATTTCAAGCAGCTATATTTTCTCTTCTCAAATTACTGCACTCCTAGGATTCACTAAATATAAATTAATTTGTAGATTAAAAACAAATTTGGTGGAAGAAGAGTTTGCAGCTGCTGGCTCCAGAAACACTCTGTGCACATCTGTCACTACAGCTACCACCTGAACTTCAAGAACATAAATTCTGATTGATGCATAGAAAAAAAATGAGTCTAAAAAAATTGGCTGTGTAAATTGACTGAACTTCCACGGTCCAGCAGCCATGGACCCAATTTATTAGGTAGAAGATTCCTTGGGCTTTCTTTCTGTTGGAGTACATTATATGTCAAAATGATGCAGTGTAATTTGACATTAAGTGGGGTTCATTCTGAGAACAGATGTCTTATTCTGTTAGCATCTTTCTTAGAAAAGGCAGACTTAACCAGCTCCTTGTAGGGCTAAACAGAAAAAAAACCCCAAACCTGATTCACCAAGAAAGGATAGTCCATCTTTTTTTGTTGTCCTGTAACTATCTGAATTTGGATCAAGTTGAATCTTTGTCTTCACCACTGTCACACAGTGCAGATCAGTAAACAAAATCTGGTCACAGACTTTGGATTACCTTTACTCCGGCACTGTTCAATGGTTTTCTTTGTAAATTCATGTACTTTCTTGTATTTTTGCATAAAACTCTCTATAAATTGACTGGCTTGAACAGGAGTAACTCCCAAGCAGTCAGCAAGACGTTCTTTACCTGGTGGCACAGAAATCATCTCCATTATGTAATAAAGCAGACCAGAAAACAACGACATACAATAGCACTGTTTCATGCATAATTAGTGGAATTACTTAACTTTACTTACCTCTATGAAATAGGATGGATCTGATACACTACAATCACATTGCAACAAAATAAATGTTTAACCCTGAGCTTCAATGTTTTACTGAAGTTACTGGATTAAGTATATAATTACTAAGAAGTATGTATATAAGAAGGATGCAATTAAGAAATTCCTAGTTATAATTTATACCTATAAGGTGGTTGAAATCTCTTTTGTTCACAGAGCAATGCGGTTGCTTTAAGTATTATTTTACCAGTTCAGTGTTGCAATCTCCAAACTTTGAAGAGCAGATGAAGACTTGAAATTAACTTAAAATAAATACAAATATAATGAAGATCTAAAAAGGGATGGAGATGCTGGAGTTTAGCTAGAAGCTTTAGAGTTCAGCCTGAATTTAGAAAGGATGTTTGGAGTCTGGGTCCCACAGATTTCAAACAGTCTTAGGCTCAGTAGAAATTTGGGTCCAAGTTTTGAGATAAAAGGGTTGGAACAAGGAAAAAAATGGAAAAAGAAAAAAACAGAAAAAGTGTTCCAACAGAGAGAGAAAGGAATAATAGCTTTTCTACAGGATATAGGTGCACAATATCTGTTATGCTGGATCTAAGAGGATTTATAAGAAAAGGTGGGAAAAACCTGAAGATATTACCAAGTGTGAAAATATAAACTAAGAGCTACAGTTTAAACCTACTTATAAATCAAACAGTTCCAGCAAAAATAAAACATACATCAACATTCATTCATTCATATGAAGCTTGAAAGACAGATATATTTATGTCAGCTGCACAGCAACACAGAACCAGCACTGTCTGCAAAGAACATAAGCTGAGAGGAGACATCTAAAGGCACCAAAGGCATGGAATAGTCATTGTCACAGTAAGACTGTCAAGGAAAATTGTCTAGCACATTAAAAAGAGAGAGGATTTCAGCCATCTAAATGCCATCACTGTCAGGCTGATGTGCATTTCAGAACAATTATTGTAGCATTTTGTTCTCAGTCACACCAGGATCTGCACTGAGCAAGAACATCAGTCTAGACAAGGTGCTAGAGAAAGAAATTCACACAGACATCCAGGATGACATTTGCTGAGCTATTATAGATCTGTACTCTTTTTTCTGACATCTTATTTTCTTCCTGGGTCAGCAAATGACAAATCTATTTGATAAAGCACACATTGCTAACAGCTAGGAGACTACTGTAGCTTCCTTAGAGAACTGTAACATCTAAGTTTGTCCATGTTATCCATTTAAAGAACTATTAATATACAGAACAATTGCATAAAATACTAGGAAAATTAAAGCACAATATTAGCAAGGCCATCTGAAAGGTCCCAGGGAAATGCAGTTCCTGGGAAGCAAAAAGAGGGGAATGAACAGCCACGTAATTGTGTCAGATGGTGCTCTCCATTCTGCATCATCTTTCAAAAATGAAAATAGCATTACTTGTAATTTAAACACTGATAGCCCTCTGTGTCAGTCCAGGGCTTGAACATACTGCCATTGCATAGAAGGAATTCCTTATTTTACAGAAGTTAAGTTGCCTGTGTTTTAGTTCTACAAGATGACTAAGGCAGAAGCAAGTGAATTGAACTGCTCCAAACCAACCAAAAATACTTATAGAATGTCCTGAGCTGGAAGGGACCCACAAGGATCAACTCCTGAACCTGCACAGGACACCTCAAGAGTCACACCATGTGCCTGAGAGTGTTGTCCAAATGCTTCTTGAACTCTTGTCAGGCTTGGGGCTGTGACCACTGCCCCAAGGAGGCCTGTTCTAGGGACCAGCCACCCCTCTGGGTGAAAACTTTTTCCTAATAACCAATCTTCTTTTTCCTTTATTATCCTTCAAAATTAAAGAAAATACCTTGAAAGTATGAACCAAATGCAACTTAAGAAAACAGAACATACAACCTAAGAAAATAAAAAGAAAATAAAAAGATTACTATTTACTACATTAAAGGTTTTTATTAGCTCCTGTAAGCATAATACAGGCAAGCTCCTCAGGGAGTGTTTTTGTAGTTTTCAAGCCTAAAAGAAGTATTACTCACACTCTTCAGTTGTATAAAAATGTTTCATTTATGAAAAGTGAGCTGTCTTTTGAAGGAAGACAAACTGTGGGTGGAATTCAGTCCATCAATTTTAGGTATCTAACAATTACTTTTTGTCAGCCCAGTTTCCATCTAAGTGGTTTAATGATATAATTTCATGTCTTAATCAGGATCTGATCACACTTCTAATGAACTGGAAACTTCATATTATCTTTGAGGTGCTTCAACTGCCCTTGTTTGAGAGAGAGGGACACAAAGCAAACAAGTAAATGGAGACACATATCAAGAACTGCTGCTCTGAAATCTTTAGTGCCTGGTTCAGAGCAAGTGAGGGAGTGCCAATACTGTACTTAAATGTAAAGATTCAAGCTCTCTATAGATCAGTAGACAGACACAGGCTTCACTGAGCCCCAAGAACTGAGGCATTTCTGACTATATACAGAACCACAGGGCATTCAAGTGGTGGTGATTCATCTGACTACATCTGGTACCTGCCTGTCCCACCCACAGTGGAAGAGATAGGAAATGTGTAGCATTTGCATGGACCAAAGGGCAGGGGTCACAATGCTGGCATTTTGTAAAATAACCCAGTGATGAAACCATTCAGGTGGGAAATGGAAGATTTTATTCCAGTCTCAGCATAGACAGGTCTAAATTTACAGTGTAAGGTACCAGTGTTGGGCTTTTTAAATATAGACTTTAAACACAGAAGTTTCAAATGCAAAACAGCTTAACATAAAAACACAGATGTGTATGCATATACACACACACACACACACCCCTAAACATAAAATAGATATTTAAGACAGCTGAATTTGATGCATTTCTTCCCAACTGAATACCATAAATGATAAATGGAATACTCTGGCTGATTCTGCCTTTGGTTCAAGGACTCAGTGTAGAAGATAGCTTAGAAAGCATTCACAACCAGGAACTCGAGATATAGCATTAAGTGTTTCCAAGTTACATAAAGCTTGCAGTCCAGGGCTCTCATTTCCTAAATTACTTTTTCAAGAACTCATGCTCTGTAGAGAAAGTTAGCCAGCTGCTCACTGAAACCAATTCACAACAGCTTCTAGGCTGATGACATACATGCAGCTATCTCCCCAGAAAAGGTAACTCCAGGCATGTATGAAGCATAAGGAGAGTTGGGCATCCTTTAGAAATAGCTTTTGGAAAGTGTGAAGAACATCTTGACTTATCTAGGACCTGGTCAGGACTTGGGCAGAATGGGCAACAGTGTATTTTTGCAAGTTTTCTGCAGTTGTGAAGAAATGGCAGAAACATTAAGACTCAAAGTAAGGGAACACTTTTACACTGAAGGTGAGCAAGCACTGACACAGGTTCCCCAGAAAGGCTGCGGAGCCTTGAAGAGCCCTTTCTCCAGCCTTGAAGATGCTGAATATCTGGACACAGTCCTGGGCAAACAGCCCTGCTTGAACAGGGGGCTGGATCTGATGACCTCCAGAGGTCCCTTCCAATCCCTGCCATTCTCTGATTCTATAAATGTTATTTAAAACAATATTGGAGATTTTTAAAATTTCATTGCAGTTATTCTCATCTCTGTCTATATACTGAGAGAATCCAAAGTCCACTCAAAATTAGATATATGCTTCAGTGTTATCAGCAGTAAATAAATACAGAATCAGACAATCTTTGTATATGTAACTACATTAATTTAATAATTCTTATACTAAGTAGATAATTTAATAATCCTGGATAAAAATATAAATGCAATACTCTGACAAACTTTTACTCACCTTTAGAAAGTCAATCTACTTATATAAATTATGAATAAAGTATAAATTTACAGTAGCTGGGTTTTTTTTCAAAAAAATGCCTACCTGCTCCATAAACCACCGAGTAAACTATACGCTTTGCTTGCTCTCTATCAGCATGTTTCACTTGTTCACTTGGAATCCCTTTCCTAAACAAACAAACAAAAATCACACCTTTTCAGTTAAACTAAGTTGTTATCCCCACAGTAAACTAATTTAAAGTCAATAATCATTTAATAACTACAAAATTGGAAGATATGAATAGACGTACTTAAGGGCTTTTGTTGTCAGCCAGGAATCACAACTTCTTTACAAATTTTCATACTGATAGTCCATAGTAAATTAAATTATTTATTTTAATTTTAATCTTTCCTTTTCAATTAAATTCTTGGTTAGGAAAAATCCTACTACTATATTACTAGTTTTTCAGATTGAGGCGAATTTAATAGTGGCTCATGATAAAAATTTATTATTTCCAGCAGCAGCATTTCTTGAAGATGTGAGGGTCTAGAGACTCAAAGCATAGGTCTGACCTAAAGCTTGTTTAAATAAGACTATTATGAGGGCTTCCCAAATAGAAATATCCAACCTTTTTTCAACAAATGACATAGAAGCAAGCACTGCCTGCTCCATATGCCTCCACAATAGCAAGGCTCCATAGAACAGCAGCAGTAGCTGATTCTGGATTCAAGAGTGCATCCAGATTACTCCCAGCCAAGTGTCCTCCTTCCTAGTTCCCATTCTTTCACAACTGACATATAACAGTCCTACAAAAATGCTAATAGATTTAACATTGTGAAAAATGAAAAGCTATGACTTTGCAATCATCAAGTATGTGCCACTTATAGTTTTCCTTATCAAAATACAGCTTCAGAAAGAATACTGAAATTATTAACAACTGAAAGCACTGAGTAATATTGATCATTTGGTTTCAATTGAAGGGTCTTGGGGGAAATTATATGCTCATTCTCTGAAAACCATACCTACAAAAATTAAAATTGAATCATGGAGATTAATTGCTATCAGAGATACTTGATGATATCTGCACCACTTGGGAGAAAGTCTTCCCATGAAACTGTCAATCTTTTTCATGAGTCTGGTTGCATTTTTAAAACCAAAGTTTTCTATGTTTGCTATGAAAGCTTTTTTGTCTGAAATTTGTTGTGAAGGTTTTACCTGAGAAGGTTTAAGAAAATGCATCTTCTTCAAGGAAAGTCTTTCACCACTATTAAGATATTCAAACTTACAGAAAATCAGCACATTTTTGCTTGCATACCTCATACACTGATTTTAGCCAAGCCTATGCTCAGTGCTGGTATAATTAGGCATTCTGAATGACAAACAGGCAGACATTGGATGAAATCAGATTTAAGCAAGTCTTTACAGCACTACAGATTTTTGAAGAGGAAAAATAAAACCTAACATAAATTCTAGCCTTCATTGGACAAAAAGTCTTTGGTTTTGCAAAAGCTCACATTGTTCCTTTGAATGGCATTAACTGCTCAAAGATGAAACAAAACTTTTCACTGCTCAGTTTAGTTGAGTGTGGAGTTGCGTTATTTGTATGTTTTATTATCCCTGTATTATGTATTGGTTTATTCCTTTGAGAAACAAGAATAATTTAATAGTGTTTCCACCTGTAATGAAGACTATTCCCACTTAGTCATTCTGCAAGTTTGAGACTCTTACAATTTACTTTCTTAGCTGTGGCAGGTCAAAAGTTCATGGATCTTTTGAATACAGTAGGTTGAGATTCCCAGTTGTACCTGAATATAAGGACAAAGTGGCAATAGGAGCTAATAGGTACAGAATTAGGAAACTAGACATCATTAAGGATTTCCTGAAACAATCTCCAGCAGAAAGACTGCAGGAATTTCCTGAAGAACCTGGCAGGGAACTACACAGACACTTGAGAAAGTGTTGATCCCAAGGGAAAATAGAATCTGGTAAGAGAGCAAATATCACTTGAGGACCTTTCTGACATGGAACACTAAGGTTGGGGAATGCTGAAACTGGAGAAACATTAGAAAATGTAATACTGCTTTCCTAATACTGAATAATTTGAACTAGAGGATTGGACAAGGCAAGAATGGGAGAACAGCAGCAGAATTTACTTGCAGATTTACTGAAGTCAGAGGCTAGAGACAACTGAGAGGCAATGGGTATATCAGCTGCTCACTTCTTTGGAAAAGAAGGGCTGAAACACAGTGGGTGAGAACTGTGGAGACTTGTAGAGGAACACAGATATTTGTCAGACCATGCTACTGAGGGAGACACAAGGTGAGACTTCCTGGGAGGGACTGGTGGCTCTAGAGAAGTTTTAGCAGTGAAAGAAGATACTAGAACTAGATTGTGTGCACAATTAGAACTGCAGCTAGAAACTTTGATTATGCTTTTGCATTATCCAAGCTTCAGCTTGGAGGGCTGACTGGAAAAAACAGAAATAGTCTTATTGCTGTAATGATAACTGGCAGTGTCAGCAATTACAATAAAATCTTGCCTAACATAGTTATTGGTGCAGATGTACATGCATCATGTAATCATGGCAATCCAACAGTCACTTAGCATTTCCTGGTCTGTGGTTAGTCATGAAACACATGGCAAAAATTAAAAATTCAGGGCTTTATCTCAAATATTTCCTTCAATATAATGTTATAACCAAAATGGTCAATCAACACCTCAGAGCATGTTAGTGAGAAATGTGAGCACTGGACAGAGAGGCAATACATCTACCACTCTGAGTATTGGCAAATTTATATACCACATAAAAGAATACATAATTATGAGATATAAAATTGCCATATAAATCAAAACTGCTTGAGCAAACACAAGTCATTAATCATAACTATTTCTTTTGTAATAAATGCTTTTTTTCTGTTTGTATTGACAATTATTAGCTTCTACTAGAGTGTTTGATTCCTTCTGCAATTCAGAGAGGCATTCCTGCAGTTTGAGACAAAGGCTGTTTATTCCTTTAAACAATAAAATTAAAGGGGAGGTGTGCAGTTTCTCAGAACTGCAGCAGCCATGCTAGAAATCCCCAGTGGGCTTTCTGCTTTATCATGTTTCCTTTACAAACTAATTTAGGTTTGTGATAATTGATTTGTTTTAATGGTTACTGTGAGAACTTATTTCAATATAAAACCTTTATTTTGCCTTTGGACTCATCATGGAACAGCCATGATAATGATAAAAAGACATTGTTATCTGCATACTTGCATAAGAAGCTTTTAGTAAGCCATGTAGGGCGTGAAAATACTCCATGCTGAAGTGTGGTATATGGAACATAGATCTTCAGTAGAAATTCATTTTTTTAAATAAATTTGCTTATGATAAAGGAAGGTGAATGGGCATAAAGTAGTCGTAGCTGCTGGGCAGTGACACTGAGGTTGTGACTCCAGCTCACCCAGCACTGTCTGTACAGCTGGAGTAAGAAGACTGTTAATGCAATGTTACAGAAATTGGTACAGAAAAAAATGCTTAGGAGGAAAAATAATTTGCTGCAGATTTTGTTGTGGAAACAGCAAAATTTCTGAAGGCCTGCAGGCAATAAATATGCAGTTACTAGCTCTAGGATGAAATGTATTTTTCCATTTTATTACATCCTTCTCATTACTCTCAAATATGCTGGGAAAAGTTCAAGCTCATAATTAGTATTTTCATCATCTTCAAATCTCCAAATGTGCAGTATTTCAGCTTCTACATTTCTGCATGAATATATTGCTAGCATTCCTTGCCTGCATACTTGTCTCAGGCTACTTCCACATTTCTGATTTGTTTGTCCTTTTCTTTGTTTAACACCAATTTGCAAGTACTTTGCCTTATAGTACTTTATTTGATAGACATCTCTTAGGCAGAATAAAGAACAGCCTTGAAAAGAACAGTGCTGGAAGACATGTTCAGGTTGGCAAATCTCAGTATCCTGGGAAGGAGTTAACAGAGCTAAACAATCTGGGAAGGTCTGTTAGGGCAGCAAATAATTTGCAGCCAAAAAATTGTAGAATATCTAACAAACACAGTGAGAGTAGAGACACAAAAAGTCTTTAAAAAGGTGGCTCTATTAAGAACTGGACTGTGTGTCTAAAAGGGACTAGTGGCCTAATTCTGAGAGTAAAAAACATGGAGAAACAATTTTCTAGCATGCAGTGAAGGCTAACATGAAATTATCATTACGAAACAAAGTGAAGATATGAAACAAGAGGAGGAATATATAATTTATTACTTTTTCAAATAAAATACTTTGAATATTATAATAATTTCTCCAAAATTCACTATGCATTTTCATTTATTAATGGGGTCTAATGGACATCTCAAAGCATTTCTACTGAATTAAGTCTTAAGTCTCTAATATAGATGAACACCAAGTTTTTTTATATCCCCAAAAAATACAGCAATCATATCTGTATTTTTAACAAAGTTGACCTGTAAACTGGAATAACACATTTAATACAGAGTAGACATCTCAATGGATTAATTTTTATCTGTACAGAATACTAAAAAAACTATATGAATTTTAGTATTCAGAAATTAGTTCACACAACATAAACACATAAAAAACCCATTAAAGAGGCCAGAGGGCATAACGTATGCGCAATGGCAAAATAAAACCTTGAGAACAGGTAGAAATGGGAGGAAATAAGTTTTAAAAGAACGCGATAAGACATTCCAGAATTTCTGGGAAACGTTGTGTGGTGACGGAAGCCAAGTGTTTATGCACAGGAAAAGGCAGAACAAACTCCTCAAACACAATATCTGGCAGGCATGTGTTGCCTTGATCTGCATTACACTCCAGCCAAGCTAGGCTCACTCATAATAGCCACAAACCCCTGGCTGCTCTCTTGCATCTGCCAATTAATCCAAGTCCAAGCTGTGAATTGTTGATGTGGGAAATGAGATGGAGTGGCATTAAATTCATTTTATATGTGGTCATTAATGTCCAATAAATGAGTCAATATATGAGTGGTACACATTTGTTCATGTGATGGCTCTTACAGCATTTTATGTTTTCATCAGTGAACTATATAAGTCTCATTTTCCATCACCTATTGCTGTTTAATAGCAGAGGAAAGTTTTATATTCTGTAAGTTTGTGCCTGGAACTTTGTGTTGGGATATGAAACAGGTACGGACATTTTATGTAATCAGTAAAA